ACAGACAGACAGGCAGGTTCTGGTGTCACTCCTCTCGACGGTCTACCTGTTCTTCTAATAGACGGTCTATCACCGGACCGGTCGAACAATTGTTCCCCATCACGGTCTGCTACTCGTCTCATACAATAAACAACACTGATCCGAACTTAAACCTTTCCCTTTCCTAACCCAAACTGTAATCCCCACCAATTAACACGACATCAAAGGCAGACCATGATGGTCAATCAGGTACACCGAATGGTGGACTGATACCGAAGTTCCGCTGTTGCAAAGAGGAAGGAAACGATTAACTTTGCAAGTTTATCAAACACAGACAGCGACCGAGTTCAGAACAAAATAAAACATCCGCTCTGCGGTAAGTAAATGAAGAAAGCTTTCTTGTAGCAACAAAACCTACGTGATCAGATTGTCCCTTTGCCGACAAGCTAGCACAATTGAATAAGCTGGTCATTATGCAGGCTTCAACGCCCCTTTTAGCGCAGTAAAACAATAGGCGGTCAATGGCGTTCAACAATAATTATAAAAGCCCAACATTAAGTAGTGACAAGCTAACACAATTGAATATAATATATATAAGCTGGTCGACATTGTATACTATGTGAAACAATACATGTACAGGTATTATTATGCGGTCAACTGTGTTCAGCAATAAATATAGCCCCAGATAAAGTAGGGACGATGTGTTGGGAACAGACCCGGTAACGAAAAGAAAATAATTCAAAGGTATGTTCAAGGTTCGGCACGTAGAGAATTCACACACCAGCGCACGTATGCCCATTTCTTTACAGTATTACAGGGGTGATTATGTTCAGCTATTTTACGGGCGTTTTTTTTTTTTTTACCCATACGAAAAAGATGAATGAAAAGAAGACGAGACGTTATGCAAGAAGGAGCCTATTCTAAAAATTGATGAAAAGGAAGAAAAAAAAAAACAACCCCAAATTACCAAAAATAAATCGGGCCGCAAAACTAAGACAGGGGAAGGAGGAAAGAGAGAGAGAGAGAGAGAAGTGGGGGATGGAGTGAGAGCCAGAGGTGAGAGAGAGAGAGAGAGAGAGAAGTGGGGGATGGAGTGAGAGCCAGAGGTGTGAGAGAGAGAGAGAGAGAGAGAGAAGT